TTTGAAGAGGCTTGAGTTTTGCATGCAAAATATATTTGCTCTTGGATTTTTAATATTCCAGACAATTTCCAGGACTTAAATAAATTATCAGTGCTTACGTTTTAGATAGTTTTAACATTTGGCCCTCGTGTTTGCTGAACAATGCCTTGAATGCAAGTGAGAGTCCTTCAGAAGTTTTAATCTAGTCAAATTTTAATTAGCTGTCAATCAAATGAAAGGACTAGCCCCTTATAGTAAAGTCAGCAACTTAGTAAATTACAATATTGGTAGGCTGTAAGCTTTTTTTAAAAATATATTTTTATTATCTTTCTGTCAATAGATTTTTTTTTCTTCATTTGCACATTTGCAAGCATTTGACACTGCTTTTTGAGTTCCACGGCATCTGTCAGTTAAAATTGCTTTCATCATCTGCCCCTTTTTTTGAAAGCTGTTTCTTGACATAAAGAAGCAAAGAGGAATAATTGTTGGGCACCCAGCTTGTGAATTATTTATTCAGAAATAGGAGCAACAACGAAATGTTGCAGTCTTGCTTTTATCCAAAGAGAAAGAATGGACAAGATTGAAAATTGACTTTTGATCCCCTGAGTCGGGGTTGGGTCCAACCAACCTTGGCAATTTTAAAATGTGTGAATTCAGCTCCCAGAGTTCTCCAGCCAGACAGTTAATCTCTACAGGTTTAAGAATTGCCAAGTTTTCTGTCCATGGAGATCCTCAGTCATCCAGGTCATGGTTGTCCCATAGGTGCTTTTTCAAAAGCAACCGGACTTTGTTTTTCGTTGAAGACATTTTGCTTCTCATCCAAGAAGCTTCTTCAGTTCATGAGATGAGAAGTGAAATGTCTTCAAGGGAAAACAAAAGACCAGCTGTCTTTTGAAAAAGAACCTTTGGGACCGCCAAGGTTTATCTTTTGCCCAACACTACCTGTTATATTATCTTGGTTCTGCAACCCATCAAGACAGACACAGACTTCAGAGGATAATTAGAACTACAGAAAAAAACAATTACTGCCAACCTGCCTTCCATTGAGGACCTGTACACTGCATGAGTCAAAAAAGAGGGCTATGAAAATATCTACAGACCCTTCGCATCCTGGACATAAATTGTTTCAATTCCTACCCTCAAAACGACGTTATAGAGCACTGCACACCAAGACAATTAGACACAAGAACAGTTTTTCCCCAAACATCATCACTCTGCTAAACAAATAATCCCCCCACCATAGTCAAACTATTCACTAAGGCTGCATTACTATTAGCCTTCTCATCGTTCCTATCACCCATCTCCTCCCACTTATGACTGTATGACTGTAACTTTGTTGCTTGTATCCTTACAATTTATATTGATATTGATTGTTTCCTGATTGCTTATTTGTACCCTATGACTATCATTAAGTGCTGTCCCTTATGATTCTTGACAAATGTATTT